GTCCTGAAAGGAAATAGGTGCGATTCCGAATTTGTTTTAAGCGTTGAATTTCTTCCGGACGCAGGATGAATAGTTCTTCATTTGCCTGCATTTTCTTTTCCGCAGAAAGTTTTTTTACGGCATATTTTTCCCAGAAAGAGCGCTTTTCAGACATTGCAATTAACTTCCGGTGTAGACCACTTTGTTTTTCTCAGTCTCCTGGAGGTGAACTTCGATTTTAAACGTATCGCTTAGTTCTCGACGAAGAATGTTCCAGATCACGATAGCAATGTTCTCCGTTGTTGGATTGATGCCTTTAAATTCAGGGCAATCAAGGTTCAGGTTCTGATGATCGAATCGATCAACGATTTTCTCATGAATGATTGTCTTCAAGACCTTCAAATCGATCACAAATCCTGTTTCAGGATCAACGGGACCATCTACCCATACTTCCAATGCGTAGTTGTGTCCATGAAAGTTGGGATAACTGCATTTTCCAAAAACTTCTAAGTTTTTTTCGTCGCTCCAATCTTCCCGAAACAATCGGTGAGCGGCATTAAATGTTTCCCGGCGGCATACTTTCATATCGATGTTTTGTACAAATGTAAACGGAATTGGAAAAAGAAATCTAATGTGGATTTCTTTTTATCGCAATAATTGAAACATCATCTGTTTGAGGCTGCTTTCCTTTCCATTGATCGAACTCCTTATCAATCATTTTTTGTTGATCCTGCAGTGGAAGGTTGATGTTCGATTCGAGAAGCTCCAGCAGTCTTCTAAATGAGAATTTCTTGTTTTTCAAGCCTCCAAATTGATCCTGGAATCCATCGGTTATCAGATAGATGGTGTCGTCTGGTTTAAACGAAGCATATTGGGTATGGTATCCACGGAACCCAGGCGCTTTTTCATCGCCAATGTGGGTGTTGTTCCCTTTGAACATGGTGAAATAGCCTTGTTGATGGATCAGGAAGCGCGAACCTGCACAAGCATATGCAATTTCATCGGATTTATCATCGATAACGC